AAGTTCCTCCCCAACCTCATTGTCCGAGCCTGCTGCCAGCTCTGCGGGCGGCTGTTGGGCCACAACAGCTATGTGATCACCTTTTGTGAATTTCTTACAAGCAAAGTCCACAAGGAAGCCAGATTCACTTAACAATCGTGTTACTATCTTAACAACTGCAGTGATTCATTTTTAACAACTATGGCAAGAAAAGTTGCATAATGGGACAAAGTTCACTTAACAAATGTTTTACTTAGCAACAGAAATTTGGGGCTCAATTGTAATCATAAGTAGAGTACCTTGTATTGGGAAAGTAATCCCATATAGAATAACTAAACACAATCTATACAATCTAGAGAATTAAAAGAGATTTTTCACTGACTATATATTGTTATGTCATCAATCTTGCCAAACGTTTACTATTGTATGTATCTCTGTATGTTTATCTACACCTGTTAATTTGATTATGTGCATCAAGTTAATGTTGACTCTCAGCAATTAAATAGGCAGACTTCTCCAACATGGTTTGTCTTCAGCTTGAGCTTTTAGATCTGCACTCATTACCACTTTAATTAAACTCATTCATCTTACTTTCCTTTACCTTTCCACCATTATAGACTTTTCACATCATAAAGGTTTCATAAAACATGATAAATCTGAGCATGGTCATTTGTGCCTTGAGAAAAAAACTCTTGACTTGTTCAATTATCCATTTGTTGATGTTGTTTTTAGCTACCTTGACATTTAGAATAATAGAGTTGGAAGGGATCTTGGAGGTCCTTTGCTCCCTGCTCAGGCAGAAGACCCTATACCATTTCAGACAAGTGGCTCCCTAGTCCCTTCTGAAAGGTCAGCAGTGAGGAAGCACCACAACTTCTGAAGGCAAGCCATTCCACTGATTAATTGTTCTCATTATTAGGAGATTTCTCCTTAGTTCTAGGTTGTTTCTCTCCTTGATTAGTTTCCATCCATTGTTTCTTGCCTTCTGATGCTTGGGAAAATAGGTTGTCCCTCCCCCACTTCTTTGCGTGGCAGCCCTTCAAATATCGGACCCTTAATCCTTCTTTCATTAGACTAGTCATATCCAATTTCTGACATTATTCTCCATATTTTAGTTTCCAGCCCCTAAACATCTTTGTTGCTCTTCTCTGCTTTATTTCCAAAGTCTCAACGTCTTTTTATGGTGATCAAAATTAGATGCAGTGTTACAGATGTTGTCCTACTAAGGTTTTATAAAGCAGTACTAATATTTCATTTCAACGTGACTCTATCCCTCTGTTTATGCAACCAAGGATTTCATTAGCTTTTTTGGCTTTGTTGGATATTTAGATTAATGGATTAAGATTATCAAATTAACAGATTAACAGAGTTGGAAAGGATCTTGTAGGTCATCTAATCCAATGCCTGGCCCAAGCAGGAGACCCAACACCATTCCTGACAGATGGTAGTCCAGTCTCTTCTTGAAAGTTTCCAGTGATGAAGCTCCCACAACTTCTGAAGGCAAGCTGTTTCATTGGTTGATTGTTGTCACTGTCAGAAAAGTTCTCCTTATTTCCAGGTTGAATATCTTGTTCAGTTTCCATCCATTATTCCTTATCTGGCCTTTAGGTGTTTTGGAAAATAGGTTGACCCCTTCTTCTCTGTGGCAGCCCCTCAAATATTGGAACACTGCTATCGTGTCTCCCCTGGTTTTTCTCTTCACTAGACTAGCCATGCCCAGTTCCTGCAACCATTCATCATATGTTTTAGCCTCCAGCCCAGGGGTGTGTGTCCTTGCCGTTTTTTCTACTGGTAAAACCTTTGGTACCCAATGCTTACTTCCCTCCATGTAGACATAGTACCATTAAGGACTACTCATTGAGTACAGTTTGTCAGTCAGTTACAAATCCATTGATGGTGATCCCACTTTTTTCTAGTTTACCAATAAGTAGGTTGTGGTCTATTTTGTCAAATGCTTTGCTGAAGTCTAAGTATATTATGTCCACAGTATTTCGCTGGTCTACTAATTTAGTCACTGTGTTGAAAAATGAATTAAGATTAGTTTGGCACCATATGTTTTTAACAAACCCATGATGACTTCTAGTTATTACTTTACTCATTTCTAGATGTTGGCAGATCTGTTTTTTTATTCTCTTTTCCAGTATCTATCCGGGTATTGATTTAAGGCTGATTGGTCTGTAGTTTCCTGGGTCTGTTTCTCCTCCCCCCTTTTTGAAGATGGGAACCATATCTGGTAGTTCCCTGGTGCTTTGGAATTTTTGAAAGATGTAGTACATGGTTCTGTGATGACACCTGCCACCTCCTTTAGAACTCTAGGATGTAATCTGTCACGTCCTGGTGATTTCTATTCATCATGATCAGACAGGTGTTCTCTTACAATTTTTGGGGTTTATTTTAACTTTATAAGAGCCTCACTGGCACAGTGGTTAGAGTGCAGTACTGCAGGCTACTTCTGCTGATTGCCGGCTGCCTGCAATTCGGCAGTTCAAATCCCACCAGGCTCAAGGTTGACTCAGCCTTCCATCCTTCCAAGATGGGTAAAATAAGGACCCAAATTGTTGGAGGCCGTGTGCTGACTCTGTAAAACCGCTTAAGAAAGATTGTAGAGCACTGTAAAGCGATATATAAGTCTAAGTGCTATTGCTATTTCTAGTCCGTCTTTTACAGTTATGTTTTTGGCAGGTTGGCCTATAGTTTCTTTTTGCGTGAAGACTGATGCAAAGAATGCGTTAAGCAGCTGTTTTCTCTATGCTGCCTGTTACTTCCTTGCCGTCTTCTCTCTTTAGTCAAGGACTGACCGTTTCCTTGATTTTTTTCTTGTTATTTGTATGTTGGAAGAAACTTTTTTTTTATTATGTTTAACTTTTGTTGCAAGACTTTGTTCATTCTGAGCCTTTGGTTTCCTAAGTTCATCTTTGCAGATTCGGTCTACCTGCTGATATTTTGCCTTAGTTATGTGTCCTTCTTACCATTTTTGGTACTTGTCCATTTTGTCTTTCAATTTGTCAAAGAGATCTTTGTTCAGCCATTCTGGTTTCTTATTGGGTTTCTTGTTTTTCTTTTTCAGTTGTATTGTGCTGGTATGGGCTTTTATGATCATATTTTTCAGATTTTCGCAAGCTTCTTGAGCTGTTTTCTCCTTTAGGATTTTCATCCAAGGAATCTTTCCCAAGTTTTCTCTGAGTTTGTTAAAAATCAGCTCTTTTAAAATCTAGGACTTTGGTATCATTATGTCTGCATTATGTTGAATTCTAGTATGACATGGTCAATCTCACCCAAGGTTCCTGCGGTTTCAACTCCCTCTATCACTTCTTTTCTGTTTGTAAGAATTAAGTCCAGTATGGCTGTCCCTCTAGTTCCCTTCTCCACCTTTTGGACAACAAAGTTGTCAGCTAGGTTGGTCAGGAATCTATTTGATTTCTCACTTGTTGTGGAATTAGTTTTCCAATTGATCTCAGGCAGTAGTGGGTTTCAAATTTTTTTAGAATCTATTCTGTAGATGTGGCCTGTTTTATGGGAGTGGCTTAGCGGTCATGTGACCGGGTGGGCATGACCGGGTAGTCATGTGACCGGGTGGGCATGTGACCGGGTGGGCATGGCCAAGTTGGAAAATGTGGTGAAACTCACTTAACAATGTTCTTGCTTAGCAACCAAAATTTTAGGCTCAACTGTGATCATAAGTTATCTCCCTCTCTCCCCCTCTCTTCCTTCCTCTTTCTTATTCTTTCTCTCTCTCTCTCTCTCTCTCATTCACACACACACCATTTCCCTCATGTCTGTCACTGACAGCTCTCAAAGAGAAGGAAGGACTCCTGCCTTGGGAAGGGGTTGGACTAGATTACCTCCATGTTCCCTTGCATTCCTCTATGTTCTCTGTCCCATTAGTCACAAACAGCCCCATTCAGTTTTACTCCACAACGGTTTTTATGCTTCCAAACCTGTAGGTCATTTTGTACTCTTGAAGGAAACCTACGAGAACTTGGAATTGGTTCTTCATAAACTTAAATATGAAGACCATGGTTGGCAAGTGTGTGGGGACTTGAAGGTCTTGTGCATGCTACTCGGGCAACAAGTTGGTTATACCAAATACCCTTGTTTTCTGTGTCTATGGGACAGTCGAGACTGACAAAATCACTGGACCAAGAAGAGTAGGCAGCCGAGGGTGCTAACAGTCGGTGAAAAAAATGTCCTCCGAGAAACTTTGGTACCTTCCCATAAAGTTCTTCTACCACCTCTCCACATAAAATTGGGATTGATGAAGCAATTCATAAAATCACTTCCAAGAGATGGAGAATGCTTCAAATACTTGGTCACCAAATTTTCATGCCTGTCAGAGGCAAAATTGAAGGAAGGTGTGTTTGTCAGACCAGACATTAGAAGGTTTATAGTTGATCAAGAGTTTGTCAATACCATGACGGATCCTCAAAAAGAAGGGTGGGTTGCATTTAAAGAAGTACAGAAATTTTTAGGCAATAACGAAGATCCTCAATACTAAAAGATCGTCGAAAGAATGCTGAAAGCATTTCAAGTTTTAGTTTGCCTAATGAGTTTGAAAGTGCATTTCCTCCAGTCCCACCTTGACTACTTTCCTGAAAATTTGGGAGCTGTGAGTGAGGAACAAGGTGAACGATTCCACCAAGACATTAAAGAGATGGAAAGGAGATACCAGGGAAAATGGAGCATTACAATGATGGCACACTACTGTTGGATGCTTCAGAGAGACATTTCAGATGCTACTCACAAGCTTAAATGCACCAAGAGGAGCCTCACAAGGAAGAAGAATCGAGTTTAGTGTGTGTAGGTGAGCTCATTTCAGTTCAAAAAAGGATTTTCATGAAAATATTGTAATAAAACTTTAATTTTATAAGTCTATTTCCATTTATTTTGAGGTATTGCCTTATTTAACATAGTTACCTAAATTGTCAGGAAATGTGATGTCCTATGACAAAATAGAGGTCATTTTTGGATTCTTTTCAAAAGAATCAAAAAACATAAAGATTATGTGGAATAACCAAAACAGCTCTTGAATTTTTTTTTTTGCAGAGCTGTTTGAATATAGTATAATTATAGTTATAATTATGCACAGTATTCCTAGTTTTATATCTGTAATACCAAGCAGCAGAGAAAGAGTTTTTATTTGAGAGCAGTAGTTATCTCTTGGAAAAATATTCTATAATTTATTGCTTAATTATGTTCACAGGAAATAAACAGGATCATCATCGAATGCAGCAGACAGGAAATACCAGTGATATACAAAGTAGCAGTTCTGGAATTACTCAGAACATTCTCATATCTGATCATTAGGAATTGGTTAAATCCTTAGATGATAAACATCACCAAAACTTTTGGTTTGTTAAATTTATTTAAAATATTGCCATTTCAAAATGGAATAAAAACAAAGATGTTATTCTATTAAAGATTTTAAATCTGGAACATGTTTAATCTTGAAGTCAAGTAGCATTTGTCCAAATGCCTTGCCCTGTAAAGAAATAAAGGAGAAAAAAACTCTGTAGTTCAAACTCAGCCAGGAAAAAAGTAAACTTTTCTCAAATAACGTGTCACTTTTTGAGCATATTCTCCTGTAGAATAGTGCAATCTACTTCTGAATGACATTGTCTTTTTATTGCTCCTTTAGATACCTGCATTATAAATCTGGGATTTACTCCTAGTATAACATGCATAGGCTTGTATAATGCATATAACAAACATGCATGGACTTCAGTTGTATCAGTACAGAGAAAATGAACTTTAAAAATTTCACGGAAGTTATGATCAAACAAGGGATTTAAAATTTCAGCACATTGTCCACTATGGCTAAAATACTGACTTTACATTCCTCTTGCATTTATTCCTCATTTGCAAAAAGCCAATATGGAAAAAGGAGTAATCTGTAGAAAGGGCACTTCTGAAAGTTGACTATAATAAATTCTGAATTTTAGAGCTAGAATTAATTATATGAGAATGATGTCTCACTGATATAATACAAACTTGACTGACAAAAGGAACTATGTAACATAAAAATAATAGCTAGATTCCCCTTTTCAAGTATGTTACTAAGAAACAATAAGTTGACCTGTTGCATCTTAAAGAGGCAACATCCTAAACATTTCTTTGTTTTGTGAACTACTATTAACTAGAACCAATTTTGAGATAAATACAGAGACTGTATTTCTCTATATCCCTCTATATACATAATGTATTTGAAACTGATGCCAGTTTATGAAATCTTTGCTTTGCTGAATGATTCTTCATAAATAGATACCTACTTGTGGGTCACTTCTCAGAGATGCTGTGCCACCACCACCAAGAGAGTTTTTTAGAACGAAATTTAATCCATATATTCCTGGCAAGTCATATCTGTAAAGATAAAAAATACCATACTTTATCTGTTTAAAGGAAGGTGATGAGAATTAAAAAAAGACAACTCAGAAATGCAAAAAAAATATAGTTGGTAATAACTACAGTATTTACCTTGAATGAATTAAGATTTTGAGAAACTTTTCAGAAATTTAAAGGTAACAAGGCTGATCAGGGGACTAGAAATTAAATTTTATGAAGAGAGTTTGAAGATGAGAAAATGAGGTCTATGACAGCACTCTTTAAGTACTTGGTAGTGACACAGAAAGCCCAGGTCCGCTTTCTAGCACACAAGAGTGCAAGACATAGGGTTCAGGTTACATGCTGAGACTGATATCCAAATGGACTCCTTCCACATATTTGATTCTGTGATTCAAAAATAATTTATTATGGTATGATTGGACCTGTTAGAATAAATTGCTAACTTAGAACTATGGAAAAACATGTTCACTAAGTTTATTGAAACATTACATTATTATTTTTCTCCCATGTTGCTATTTAATCTTGTTAATATGAAGTCACTATTGGTTGATCATTTTATGTCTGCTGTCAGGTTCCGAAGGGTTAATGAAACCAGCCAAACACAGAAACAGTTTGTAGATGCAGTTTGTATTCTTCCTTTGCAACGAACTGACCAACAAAGCACTAAGGCAATGCATAAATTGTCAGAGCTGCCACCCTGTGCTTCCCACCACCTTTTATAGCTACATTGGTAATTAAAATAAACCGCACCCCACACGTGCGCACACCCATCACCTCGTGACCCCAAGCGAAAACCACCTGGCAATTAATCATGGATTGTTAGCAGGAGTTTCTTCAGCTTGTGGAGGTGGGATGGTGAGTCTTGGCAGCTGGCCCAGTGGTCTCCCCTGAATGGCAGCTCCAGGCTTCTGGGCTGACCGGAGCTGACATGCGGCCCCCTACCATGGAGACAGCATCTGGGGAGTTGAAAGACCCATTTTCCCTGGTTTTGGGGGATGTCTGCGGTGGAATCTCACTACCAGGTGGGGTGCCCTACAGTTCTTGATATGAACCCAAGATGCCTCCAACAGGGGATAAACTTTCCACAAAATAAGATATTGTAACCATCCCCTGTGCCAACCGAAATCTAGTATATCTTGCACTATGTAGTGCTGTTCCCCATCTACAGTAACTGGGGCTGGTGGCTGTAGCGGGTCTCCTCTGATATGAGAGGCCTGAATTGATCAAAACAGGCTGAAGTGGAAGACTGGATGTGTTTTCCCCAGTAGAGGGGGGAGTCTTAGTTGCACTGTGACTGGGTTAATAACTTACATGATTGGGAAAGGCCCAATGAATTTGGACCCAAGTTACATACATGGCAACGGCAGCCTGAGATATTTAGTGGAGAGATATACCCTCTGGCCTATATGGAAAGGTCCTTGCACCTTCCGCTTTTACTGGCACTCTTTTTATATGTGGAAAAGAGTGATATAACGCATCCCTCACCACTTTTCAAACTGTTTGCATCCGGGCTATCCACTCCTGCGAGGTCGTTTCATCTGGGCGCACTTGAAGACACTCCGGAATTGGGATGAACAACTGCCCTGTAGCCACATGAAATGGGGTATATCCCTTACTTTTGTGCACTGCATTGTTATATGCAACTTCTGCAAAGGGGAGGAGTTCAGCCCAATCGGTCTGTTGGTACTGGACATAACTTCTCAAGTAGCACTATACTATCATGTTTGCCCTCTCTGCTGCACCATTTGATGCAGGGTGGAAGGCTGTACTAAGGGGAGGAGTTCAGCCCAATTGGTCTGTTGGTACTGGACATAACATCTCAAGTAGCGCTGCACTATTGTGTTTGCCCTCTCTGCTGCACCATTTGTTGCAGGGTGGAAGGCTGTACTAAGTCCCTGTGAAGACCCCACCATTGCCACGAATCTACGCCAGAACTGGGCAGTGAATTGCACTCCCCTGTCTGAAATTATCCTTTTGGGGATGACATGGAGTCTATAGACATGGACAATAAACAGTTTGGCCAGCTTCCTAGCAGATGGAAGGCCGGTACATGCTACAAAATGAGCCTGCTTGGAGATTATCATCCAAATGACCTTGTTCCCTTGGCTGTCCAGTAAATCCATGATGAAGTTCATGGCTATCTGTTCCCATGGCCGAATTGGATCTGCCATCTGCTGTAAAAGATCAGGAGGCCGGCCAGACCGGGCCTTCATGGTAACGCAAACAGCACAACTCCTTATATATTCCTCTATGTCCCTCTTCATGTGGGGTCACCAGAACTGGCGTTTTACTAAATGCAGAGTCTTGAGAAACCCAAAATGTCCAACCGAGCAAATGTCGTGGCAGCGCCACAGCACGGCCACCCATACCACACTTGGTACATATAACTTCGACCCCTTCCAGGCAAAGCCCTCTCGCTGTGTTAATAAAGTTTGATTTTCTTGAAACCATTGGTCCATTGGGAGTGCTGCTTTGATTGCTCTGGAGAGGTCCTCCCCCTGGGCATACAGGTTTGGTGCCAATGGGGCCTGTTGAATGGCTAACATCCTAGGCTGTGAGGTTGGGATGATAGCCTGTACTAGATACTCCTTTTTATTATGATACTGTGGCTTGCAGGAGAGGGCATCAGCTAAGAAGTCCTTGCCCCCTGGTATATATTTTAATTGGAAGTTGAATCACCAAAAAACCAAGGCCCATCTAACTTGTTTTGGCAACAATCTTCGCAGGGTCTGGAGGGCCTCCAAATTCTTGTGGTCCATCCAGACCTCGAAGGGTATCCCTCCCCCTTCCAGTAAATTCTGCCACATCAACAGGGCCCACAAGACCACAAATGCCTCCTTCCCCCAAATGGGCCAGTTGCGTTCAGTCCCTCTCAACTTCCTTGAGGTGTAGGCACACGGCTGTAGGACTCCTTCATTGTTCTTTTGTAAGAGAACTGCAGCCACCGCCACATTACTGGTGTCTGCCTGAACCACGAATGGCTTAGAGGGCTCTGGATGTTTCAATACCAGCTCTTGTGCAAACAAGGTCTTCAGATGCTCAAACGCTTGCTGACACTGTGTTGTCCACACAACTGGGTTTCCCGGTCGAGGGTTTGCCATGAGATGTCTGCTGCGTAAGAGGTCGGTTAGTGGAAGGGCCCCTTGGGCAAAGGACGTGATGAACTGGCGAAGCACAGGGTGGCAGCTCTGACAAACTGTCAGGTTCCGAAGGGTTAATGAAACCAGCCAAACACAGAAATGGTTTGTAACTGCAGTTTGTATTCTTCCTTCAGCACAAACTGACCAACAAAGCACCAAGACAATGCATAAATTGTCAGAGCTGCCACCCTGTGCTTCCTACCACCTTTTATAGCTATATTGGTAATTAAGATAAATCGCACCCCGCGGGTGCGCACACCCATCACCTTGTGACCCAGAGCAAAAACCACCCGGCAATTAATCATGAATTGTTAACGGGAGTTTCTTCAGCTTGTGGAGGTGGGACAGTGAGTCTTGATAGCTTGCCCAGTTGTCTCCCCTGAATGGCAGCTCCAGGCCTCTGGGCTGGCCGGAGCTGACATCTGTCTCTAAATGGAGAACATTGTTAGAAACACCAATTAGGAATGTCCTGGAATAACCAGCAGATTTTTCTAGAACAGAGGATGATATATTGGTCCTCATCACTACTATTTCATGTCTCTCTGAAAATAATTTGCTTTTGAACAGAATTTTCATATCTTTTCCTTGGTATGACAAAGGATAGTTGACAATCATACTTTGACTTTATTCCTTCATTCATTTCAGCCTAGATACTTCCAATTTAACAATTACTTATGTATAATATCACAGATTCAATTACTTCTCATGGTATCTTAAGTTCCCATTTTAAAAATAATATTAGCTTAAATGTAATTTACCTAAAAAAAGTTTTAATATGGTGACTCACCAAACTTTAACAACACAACCTTTATCATCTTAGAATAAAAAATCATGAACTCATTTGGGACATTAACTGATGATAGATAGAAAACTGTAGTCTTGCTTTATTTGAGTGGTTCCTAAAGCAAATGTTTAAGCATTGTGTAAAAAATATATGTGGAAATGAAGATACCTGATTTACCCATTTTGAAGTAAAAGATTTATATAGAAATCAATCAAGTGAAACATTATAAATGTATTCAGGTTAAATATGCTATGGCTTTCAACACCTTCTCCATGAACAGACTGGCTGACTGTGAAACAGATAATAGAGAGCATCTAACTGTTCACATGCATTTCAAAATGGTTTTAGACAGTAGGAGTTAAATTTTTATATTTAAAAAGTTATTTAATATAATTGGAAATTTGAAAAACACAAAAATTATGCTGATAGTATACAAGAATGATATCCATCTTTTCATTTGACAACTAATATTTTTATGTAACTTTTTGTTCAATGGAACAATTGTTTCCATTTGTTCTTGTTCCTTTAGGAACAGAGTGTTTATCACAGTTAATAAGAAGCTTCAGGAAGCTTAAAACATGTGAATATAATTCCTTCTAATTCTTAAGACATACACAAAAGTGTTCTTTCTTTTGCAAGTTTCTTCTAATTCTATTCACATTACCCTATCAATACATTATTAAAAGAACAAAAAGTCCATGGTTTCATTACTAAAATAAAAGTTTACTGTAATCAGACATTTTAATTGAATAGTTTTCATAACAGCAGTGAAATATTTTACTTTTTTCTTATCTCTGAATTGTCTGGTTGTAAAAGAAGCATTGAACATTATTGTTCATGATCCACCACTACGACAAATAACTAGAGAAGGATTGAATCAGTGGAAGATTTCACACAAAAGAGATGGGCAATATGGGAAAAGGAGGCTTTTGTAGTTAGGTGGGCACTCCTAACTTGGAGACATTTCTTGGAAGGAGTAAAATACCTTTCCAAGTATGGAGCAACCACAAGAACTTAGAAGCTCTCAAAGCTCCATGGAAAATGTCTCCAAAACAAGTCCGGTGGGCACAGTACTTCCAATGCTTTAACTTCACTTTGAAGTATTTACTAGGAGGGGAAAACCTTTTGGCAGATGCTTTGTCCAGAGTATCACAATATAAGAGTGTCAAGGTGGAAGTAATTAAGCCCATGACCCCCAACCTCCCAATTAGCAGTTAAGATCGTCACACGCTCTCAGGCGAAGAATGACCCCTCCACCTTAGACAATGCCACCACCACAGATTTAAAAAAAAAAACCCTTAGAAACGGATGAATGGTTTAGTGCCAATAAACATACTTGCATAATAAAAGAGGGGTTATCTTGGGTGGGAAATAAGCTGTATGTGCCAGCTAGGGAAAGGATGAGGACTATGCAAGCTTGTCATGAGTCCAAATTAGCTGGACATAGAAAGTTATGTAGCAAGCTGCCCCATTTGCGCTGCCACTAAACATAGGCAGGGGAAAAACCCCAGTCTACTTCATCCAGTGGCTGACCCTTCAGCACCATGGAGAGAGATCTCCATGGATTTCATTGTTGAATTGCCAGAGAGTTCTGGAAACACAGTAATTTGGGTTGTCACAGATCTTTTCTCAAAACAGGTTCATTTCATCTCATGCCAAAAGATCCCTATGGCTAAAGCTTGGCTAAACTGTTTTTGGTCCATATTCACCGCTTGCATGGGGCCGCACAACGTATTACTTTGGACAGAGGGGTCCAATTCATGTCCAGGTTCTGAAAAGCTTTTTTGAATCTATTTGGGACCTAGCAGGAACTTAGTTCTAATCATCATCCACAGATAAATAGGGCCATGGAATAAACAAACTCAGTTCTGGAACAGTACTTGCGGTGTTTATTTATTACCAGCAGAAGAACTGAATCGAACGACTGCCTTTTGCAGAAGTAGCCTATAATAATGCAGTTCATGCTATCACAGGTTTTACCCCTTTTAGAGTGGCCACAGGGCAAGAATTTAATGCTATGCCTGAGTTACCCTCACATGAACCAGATATACCTTCCTTGAAACAATGGATCATTTGCAAACCATTTGGCCAGTGGTCTGGAAAGCCTTGAATTAAACCAAGGCTGCCTATAAAGCACAAGCAGACAAGAAATGAACAGAACCTAAAACTTATAATGTGGAGGACAAAGTTTACCTTTCCACCAAGTTTCTAAAATCTTTGCAGCAGTCTAAAAAGTTGGGTCCTAAATATATTGGGTCTTTCCCCATAATTCGTATTATTAACCCTGTCATGATAGAATTACAACTCCCTAACTTATTACGGCAAGTCCACCCCGTTTTCCATTGTCGCTTATTGAAGCCTGTAGTCACAGCCTGCATTACTGTGCTAATCTCTACATGAAGTTTCTGTTTCTTGCATTACTATGTTAATCTCTATATAAAGTCTCTGTTTCTGTTTCCCTACAATGATGTAGTGTGTGTGTGGGGTTTGGTTAGCATTGCTTTAAATAGCAGGTTTTAAGTGAAAAACTCAGTTCTTGCCTAGATCTCTTGTTATCACACACCTTTCAATAAAAGCTCCTTTTGGAACAACTGCAATTTCAAGAGTCCTGCTTTCTTGGGAAGATTGGAGAGGCAAGACCTTACATGTATATGCATGAGTAATATACTGTTTGCCAAACTGCTAAGCCCTTGGTTTACATGAGGATTTTCATGTAGTCTAAAAATTTTAAATATAATCAAATAATACTGCATGAACACTTGAATTAAATGAGTGCCTACCGTGATACCAAGATTTCTTCAGGCTGTTCTCTTTCTAAAAGATGCTGGAAATAATTTTCTACAGCCAAAGCAGTTAATGTTTTCTTGAGGTATGGGTAGTAAAGGGGGTGACGGGCTATGACACCTGTTATAAACAAACAGAACGTAATTATTTGTTATGCTGCATGGATCACCAAACAATGTTATTATTCTTACCAAAAAAAAATCATTCCGTCCACATTATTTTAAACTTCAGCTACTCAAGATTAAACCTACCGTATTTTTTGGTGTATAAGACACACTGGCGTATAAGACACACCAAGGTTTTGAAGAGGCAAATTAAAAAATTTTTTTTGCACTCTACAAATCT